GTTTTGGGATGGAAGTGTGCTGCCTGCAGGGTGGTACGGGTACCGACCGGTTAGCTTCTCCGGCTCCTGCTTTTTTGCCGCTGCCTTAGGCCACGCCATCCACTGCCGCTAGCCAGCCTGTGGTGCCGTGCGGTGCGAGTCATCGAGTGATCAAAGTCTGCGCAAAGAGGAACATGAAAGGTGCTGTGGACAGCAAAGCAGCCATCTCTGATGAAGGAGTGGCTCCCTGTGCTACCGCAGCTACTACAGACAGCTGCGCTTGCCAAGCCCCAGCCCTGGTGCACCCTGGGTAACAGGGCTCCAGCAGCTTCTACTGGTCACTTCTAATTGGTAAAATAAACTCACTAGTAGGGCCATTTTTGTGTGTGAGGAAATATACTTCCTGTACTATTCATGCAGCCAACAGGTATCCAATGTGACTCACACTCCTTACTCTATATTTAGCCTGTTTACACAAACACATATGTGTTCAGGGGTACATGGTGCTTTTGGTTAAACCAGCTAATGTATTATTGTGCTGCAGACTTTCACTACTACCAGAGTGCCTATTTATTATTATTATTATAATTTACATATTATTACATTTACATATTTAACAGATGCTTTTATCCAAAGCAATGTATAAACGAGGCAAAAACCACACTGCAAACATGCTGTGAAGGAGTCGACTTGGCATAAGTACAGCTAGACAGAGAATCCAGTAACCACATATGACTGCAAACCTTATTGGAGCAAGAGTTCCACAAAAACTATTAAAAAGAACCTATTAAATCCATTAAAGGGTCAGATGTATAACATAAGAGCATTCAAAGAACATAAAGAGACATCACTAGTATAATGATTAGCCTATTAGATTTTTTTAGTCCAACTACTGTTTAAATACTATAAGACCGTGTTAAGTTGCTTGGTGATTGTAGGGGGTCATTTGAAGAGAATGGGAAACTTAGAATACTGTCTTCAAAATACTTTTTGTTTATATTTACGTTTGCAGTAACATAGTCTTAAGAGTATAGTCATTGCCGTAATTGTGGATGCCAGATGAACAACATCATTGTAATATATTTCACTGACATTTCACAGACGGACGCCTGATTCTATTCTCATACGTTTTAAAGAGAGAGAAGACAGGAGCCATGGCTGTGACGCGCCTCACGGGCTTGGAGCGGCTCCCTTTTAGTTGTTATATCTGGAATGAAACTAACGGGGCATGTTCGACGTGTGTCGGCGCGAGCGCGGGACAAGGCAGCGCTGGCTCCACTAGCCGCAATTAGTACGGGACACGGAAGCCAGCGCGCGCCTCTGCGTCCTGATTACCGCTCTTTGGTGACCGGAGCCGGTTCGGTTCCTCGTGGTCAAACCGACTCGTTTGCCCGACATGGGTTTTTTTACTGGCCAAGTACGAAACTCGCCGCAGCCTGGAACTACTTATGAGATAAAAATAGCCGGCGAGTGATTGGCAGTTCGGCGCGGCCCCGGCGACGGGTGAGTGACGGTTTGTCTGTTCGGGAAATTTAAACAGCGTTTGCTGTTGGCCGGGCAGCAATCAGCGTTTCATCCGGAGAGCCCTGCCATCCAACTCTGTGCTTCTCTCCTAATACCCACCTTTTGACTTAAGTCGTATCAAAACAAAGATGTTCCTTTTTAATTAGTGCAACTTTAATGCACTGAAGCCACCGCATTATTCTGTGGTGAGTATAGTTCATGTAGTCTCTTTTACAATTACTTGCCTCAGGATGAATGCGCGACGAGCACCTAATATTAATCGCATCAGCCCCGCAGAGACAATGGACCCCCAGACATAATATGGTGTAAAATACCTCCCCCTGCCCCCCCCCGCCGGAGTTAAACACGCTTGGAAAAATACATTATAGACATAAGCACTAAATAAGACAATCTGAATTTCTGAAAAAAGGAAGAAGACTGATGTAAGGCACAGAATGAGTATGTGTTTGCCTGAGGAACAGCTGAAAGTAGGCTGGCAACAGATGTGCAGGGCAGTAAAGTGTAATTGAAATGCCAGCAGCAATGGTCTTATCTCCATGGTACAGGAGCTTGCTGCCAGTCTGAACATCAGTTAAATGTCATTTTACCTAGGTCTGCATCAGAGGGCCACAATCCCCACTTTTGTGATGGGGAGTGTGTGTGTGCGTGTGTGTGTGTGTGTGTGTCTCAGGTGGCCAGATAGTTTAGAAGCTCACCGAGAATATCTACCTGCTTGAATTAGGTTGTGATTTAGTATGGTCTGTCGCTGGGTGTCATTAGTCCCACAGTGATTGGGTTTTTTTTTCTTTTTTTTTTAGTTCTTAGCCAATTCCAATCAGATTCCTTGAAAAGCGATATCTTCATTTTCCAGTACAGGGTATTATACGACTTAGCTGTGAGCAGGTCTATTAAAGTTAAACCAGCACACTGGTGGCCCTCCTGATCTGGTATGCTCTCCCTGGTTATAATTTATCTAGGAAAAACGAAAGGTATCTGTGTCTGTAGATATGACTTATTTAATGAGGTTTTCCCCTTTTCCACTTTCTCCAGTCTGCATCTATAAATAAATTCATTCCAATAAACTCAGGTAAATTTAACATTATCTGAGTTTTGCATGGTAATTGCAATTTTTCCATATTAATTGACTGGGTGAATGCTACTCTGTGCTGACTCCATTTGCGTCTGCTACACAGGTAAAAGTTCAATTAAAACTATAATTCCTAAAAAGTTTGCCACTGCATCTTCCCCGATACTGAGATCATGTCTGGAGACAATCTAGAATATGTCAAAACCCTATGAAAAAAAATAAAAATATCAAAATTTAAAATAGTTGTCACTGCACAGACAGATTTCAGACAGGGCTCCACTGGTTTAGCATCATTACTAAAAGCTCAGATTGTGGAGAAACCATATTCTCCCTGAAACCATGCTTTTTACCTCCAGGTATTTTTTAAGTAAAATCACATTGTAACATATCAAAGCTGACCACCTTCTGTAGTGCTTTTACTACTTTGCCTTCTATAGTGTTTTTTAACTAAGATTTTCTGTTTTAGGTATTCCAGAGTATATAAAATATTACTTGAATTACTATTATCTTGGAATGATATAAAGAAAATGAACTGGATAGGTATAAGAGGTTTAAGATATACAAAAAAATACTGGATGTACAGTAGTATGCAAAAGTTTGGGCACCCCTTGATAAATAACATATTTTGGTCATTTTTTAATGGAAAAGATGTAAACATAGTCTCTCTAGGAAATGGAAAAAATGCACAATATTTTCAGCAAACATTGATGCATAGTTACTTTTTATGTCATAAATTGAACAAAGATAAAAAATAAAAACATTATTGTGCCACTCTGCAAAAGTTTGGGCACCCTACATAATCAGTACTTGGTAACACCTCCTCTGGCAGATATAACAGCTTGCAAACACTTTTTATAGCCAGCTAAAAGTCTTTCAGTTCTCGTACTTGGGATTTTCTCCCATTCTTCCTTGCAAAAGGCTTCTAGTTCTGTAATATTCTTTGGTTGTCTTGCATGCACAGCTCTTTTAAGGTCTACCCACAAATTTTCAATTATGCTTAAATCAGGGGACTGTGATGGCCATTCCAAAACCTTCAGCTTGTCTCTTGAGGTAGTCCATGGTGGATTTCGAGGTATGTTTAGGGTCATTGTCCTGTTGTAGAAGCCATCCTCTTTTCAGCTTCAGCTTTTTTACAAATGGTGTGATGTTTGCTTCCAGAATTTGCCGGTATTTGGTGGAATCTATTCTTCCCTCCACCCGTGCAATGTTTCCTGTGCCACTGGCTGCAACACAACCCCAAAGCATGATAGATCCACCTCCATGCTTAATAGTTGGCAAGGTGTTCTTTTCATGAAATGCAGCTCCTTTTTTTCTCCAAACATGCTGCTGCTGATTGTGGCCAAAGAGTTCCATTTTAACTTAATCAGTCCACAGCACTTGTTTCCAAAACGCATCAGGCTTCTGTAGATGTTCTGTTGCATACTTCTGACGTTGGATTTTATGATGGGGACGCAGATAAGGTTTTCTTCTGCTGATTTTTTCATGAAGGTCTTGTGGAACGGTGCACCACCACTCCTGAGTCTGCTAAATGTTCCTGCAGTTTTTTTGCAGTCAAATGGAGGTTTTGATTTGTCTTTCTGACCAGCATATGAGCAGTTCTCTCCAAGAGTTGTCTTGGTCTTCCAGATCTCATCTTGACCTCCACAGTTCCCCTGAACTGCCATCTCTTAATTACACTTCTCACTGTGGAAACTGCAAGCTGACAATGCTTTGCTATCTTCTTGTAGCCTTTTCCTCCATTGTGGGCATCAATAACTTTCATTTTCAGAGTCTTACACAGCTGCTTAGAGGACCCCATGGTTGTTGAGTGTCCACAAGTGTGTGCACAAGGTTTGAAGAGTCAGTGTATTTGTAAAGCTTTGAAATTGGCACGAGCTGACATTTACTAATGACAGCTGTTGCCATGCATCAGATCTAATGAGCTGATTATGGTCTGAAACCTTGTAAAAAGAATCTGAGACTTTGGAACTCTTAGGGTGCCCAAACTTTCACAGAGTACCATAATAATGTTTTTATTTTTTTATCTTTGTTCAATTTATGACATAAAAAGTAACTATGCATCAATGTTTGGTGAAAATATTGGTCATTTTTTCCATTTCCTACAGAGACTGTGTTTACATCTTTTCCATAAAAAAATGACCAAAATATGTTATTTATCGAGGGGTGCCCAAACTTTTGCATACTACTGTATGCAATGTGTTAATGAAGTGCCTTGGACTTTTTTTGAAGAAAGTTGCACAATTTGTCTTGCTATTGCACAATTTGTCTGGATTGCTGTTGCATTCTTACATCTGGTACTGATTGTCAGCTTTGTTGCGGCCTGAGCAGCCTTTCTGTTTTTTTATTGAATAATAAACATACAAAACCATTTCCAACAGGTGTGAACTATGGTAATTGTGTGAAATGTTGATTTGTCTCTTTTTTTTTCCAGAGGGTTATTTTCAACATTGTCAATTTCAGCAAGACCAAGAGCTTGTACCGGGATGGAATGTCTCCAGTGGTGAAGTCCACCAGCCGACCCAAGTGGTAAGTACACAAATGTGCGACCCACATTAGCAAGGTTTCATCTGTTCTGCACTCCACTGAATTCAAATGATTGTTTACTGTTCATAACCAAATATTGGTAGTTATTAATACTGTTTTATACTTTAACATTTATTATCAATAATGAAATATACTATAGTACAGTTGACCCTTAGGCATCACGACTGTCCCCATTGCGGTTTTGATGTATCACGAGGTCCACCTAAGACTTTAAGATGGGATTTTTTTTTTAGTTTTTTTTTTTGGAGTTTTGTGAAAGCTGCAGACGACACGTGAAGGCCAGCAGACAACACACAAAAAGTGTAGTAAGTCATAAGAGCATGAAATATACGTACAGTGCTGGTATGGAGGACGCCAAAAACCAGTTGGCGGCAGCTTCTTACGTGATATTTGCACTGATCTTTGTATTTCATGTTTCTCGTATCTTTTCAGTTTGTTTTGTTCTGCTTGCTTGCCTGCTTTGCTCGCCAAGGGGACCAAAACATTTTGCACGGTTTTGGACCGTGATGCGGAAGGGTTGACTGTAATATGTCACAGCACAGATTTTTCTCTAAAGAAGAAGACAAAAACTTTTGTTGCCTGTCATAGAAAAACATGGTGAAATGGCTCAGTGACACAGGTAAAACTGCACAGACTCCTCAGATGACAGTTGCAGTATATTGGTGCTTGCTGAAAAGTAAACTGAAACTTAAAATATGCTGTAGTGGATGTTGTTATGTTTTATATTTTATATAAAAATAGTAACATATTTTATATAATTTATATATTTTTCTTTTTAAAAAAGATATATTTTTGCCAAATCAGGTTTTTCACACAACCTTTATAGATTTACAGTTTTTCACAACTTTTAAACTTTTTGGAAAACAGTTATATTTCTTCCAGTTTCTCTAAGGCAGGACTGACATTTTCTGTGAAACGTAAACTTTGAATTTCTTTTCCTTAGTACATAGTTTTCTGTGTTTAAATTTAGCCAAAATGAGATTTTGGCTTGAAACACTTGTAAAGACTTCAAAGAGAAAAGACAGACGGACAGAGAGCAGTGAAAATGCCGGCCTGTTAGTGAGATTAGATCGAGACTAACCATGGTTTGGTTATCCTTCAATTTGTGTCATTTTGTGTTTTCTTTTGTGAGTTTGACAAGATTCTGTGTTTAATTAAGGAAAAGCTTGTGAGTTTTTTTATGTACATATCAGTTTGAAACCAGGCACAGGTATCTGGGCAGTTGAAGAAATGAAATTATGGTTTCATTGTTTGGATTCAGTGTAAAAAATAAATATAGCGCTAAGCAGTCCGTGGTCCAAATGCAGGCCACCTGGAGGAGAATAAATTCCTTTCTGTAACAAACAGTCCTTAGGGCATTCTGGCTGTCACTGGCTTCTGCATTTCCTGGCTCTCTAAGTACTTTCCATAAAGTATATAAATAAATATTTGGCAAAACCACAATGGCTAAGTATTTGAATAATCTTAACAAATTTTTAATTTTCAAATAGGCCACCCACCTTAGTGTTAGGTACCTTAGAAACAAGTACCTTAGAAACAAAAGCTTTGATGTGTTTTACAGAGTATTTTTAAATCATTCTGTCATTTTAAAATGAGTGGCAGGTGGGTCTGAATTTGTTCTCTTGATAAATATGGCAGAAAAGTAATCACAGAATATAGCACAAAATATGAAGATAAAACCCAGTAGTACAGATGGGGCGAACCATAAAGCCACCAATTCTGAATATGAACAAATTAAGGCTTCTGTTAATAGTGTTCTTCATCCATGGCGAAATGAATTAGCTTCTGTCAGCCATCAGTTGTGTTTACCATCTAGTATTCATTTTATGATTTTTATGTGAAATTATTATTTAATGTGGCTCTATTCAGTCTATTGTCCTTTATGTTTGCGTGCAGAAATAACGGGCATGGGATCTAATCTGAAAGAGTGAATTCCTGTGGGTCTTGAGGGTACACTGGAGCTTTGAAAGGTGATGCGTGCAGCCCGTGTGTTTCTTCAACAGCACATTAGAATTCAAATGGGGATGAGCCTCGCTGCATTTGCATTTGCAACATAGAGTGCTCAGGTGATGGCTGTCGAAGGTAATAGCCAGAGACTGACGGGTGTGGGGGCGTTCGTTGTAGGATTACGCAAGTCTTCCAGACGTGGCGGAGCGTCAGGCTGATGCGTGCAACCGGCCTCCCTGATCAAATGCGCCCGTCCAACAGGAGCCTTGACATCTGTCATAAGTCTATCAAGGGCAGTCACTGAAACGCAAGGCATCTGCCGGCGTAAATTTTCTAAGTCTGCCAACCAGTGGTCACAGGCTAATGGGAAAAGACAATTAGATGGAGATGCAAGGAAATACAATGGATTGCGAAGCGTTTCACATTCAGATTCCCACTCTCTATGCTTTGCATCCAACTGGTTTTGGCCGCTGCGCATGGTGGTATTGTAGGAGTCATTTTGTTTGATAGCTTCAATTGGTAGTGTCATTCATCTCAAATTTCAGCAGGTGATTTTCAATTTTTATCATACTGCTGTGCACTTCGGAAAATGTTAATGATTTGAAACAGTGGAGTTAAACAGATGTTGTTTGTGGGGTCTTATCCAAATGAGGCATCTATTTTAGCAAATCTTCCATATATATATTTAGATTGGTTATATTTACTGTTGTAACAAGAAAAAAAGAGTGCCAGATTGTAATTGCTGTATTGATTGAACTGGGCTAGTGGTGGGTGATATGACCAGGGCTGTGGAGTCGGAGTCGAGGAGTCGGAGTCGGAGACAATTTTGGGTACCTGGAATCGGAGTCGGAGTCGGCAAAAAGTTAACCGACTCCGACTCCTACTAAATTTAAATGGGAATTAAAAAAGTTGAAATGTCCCAATTCACAAACAGTCATAATGAACTACTTCTCTGCTGTAAGAATAAAGCCCAATGCATGCAGTGCATAATGTTACCACAAAACGAACATGTCAAGTAACCATGAAGCATGCTTTTCATTGACTGTATGCGTCACTATATGGGATGTAATGCACAGGTAAGGTGCGGCACCGCTTTCCATTGTGTCGTGTTCCACTGTTACAGGGAACTGTGAACCTAGTCTAAAGCCCCCCATACACTTACAGATGCACTGCCGATTTTTCGGCCGTTGAACGAGTCATCATGCGTCAAACGCCTGAAAAATCATCTGGTGTGTTCTCAGCTCCGTCGGCTACCCTTCGCTATGCGCTACCCTTGAAACCTTGTTTTCATTGTGTTTGTCTTTAATCTGGCATTATAGTAGAGTGTTGGCTTCCTAGCCAGTAGTTCTGTGGTGAATTGACATGTATGTTGCCTTCCTTTCCTTCAATGGATGTAGAAAATACATTAGCATAGTATATACATACAGAGGAGTCGGAGTCAGAAGATTTAGAAACTGAGGAGTCGGAGTCGGAGTCGGAGCATTTATCTACCGACTCCACAGCCCTGGATATGACGATAATTTATCATGACTGGTTGAAGTTGTATTCACGATAAGTGTTTCAGAGTTTCACATGTTCAATGACAACAAAGCTGCAGGCGCCTGTCATGCAATACCTGCGTGCTCTGAAGCTAACAGTTCTACAACAAAAAATTCATCTTGCATAGCATATTTGCACTGTCTGTATTTCTTACTTTGTCAATTATCTGTCTCAGTGGATCACAACTTAATTACTAGATCTTAAACTAAACTTAACTGACCTTTTCTTATGAGTTAGCTGACTTGATAAAAAAAAAAAAAAAGTTAAACTTCATATTAGGGCTGCCACTAACTCTTTTTCTGTAGATTAATCTATCGACTATTTTATCAATTGCTAGATTAATCTAAACGATTAATTTTCCTCCAGAAAATCAACATGACCATTAAGTTAAAGTTTAAAATTTAAGTCAATTTTATTTTGACAACAACAAACTGTATACCATTACAGGGCTTTTGGATAATGTACGCCGGCTTTTTGGCACTATACGGGCACTATTTTCACCCACAATTGGCAGATTAGTAATAAGCAGACAGGATAAGCAGATTAGTAGCATGTCTAAAAATATTAATGAGATGTGTATATTGTGATGACCAAAAGTTAGTAATACGTATAAATTTGGTGTATCCTCAAGCTTAATAAATTTGGTTAGTGGAACATGCCACATGAAACACAAGCAATAAGTACTGAAGTCACAATGAAGGAAGGGACAGATCAGCAGCCACAACATCCTTTAAAAGAGGAGATAATGTGGTTAAACAAGGCAAAAAGACGTGGTGTGATGGTACTTTCGGCAAATTAAAGTTTGATGCTTTTTTTAAAAAAAAAAAAATGGTTTTGATTTTAATTTCAATTCTCGAATTATTTTATTTTATTGAGTGCCCGTGTTCGTTTCACTTTTATTTTATGATAACAACACTGGTCCCAACAAATCCAACACGCACAAACACACACAGTCCACTAGGAATAAGCTGAGATTCTAGTTTAAACATTTTCACAAACACTTATTCAATGGAGATTCTAATGTAGTCGGCAGATAACTTTATGGCTCTAATAATGAGTGTATTTAGCAGCTACAAAGACAAAGGAAATTAAAAAGCTCTCCATTCTGATGTTAATTTAATAAACATGAATAGACAGCACTTAGGGTGGTTTTGCCTACTCTGGTGGTCCATCATCTAGAATAGCGCCTGTGTGTTTTCTCTTTAGGCACTCGTGGATATTGCTAGTGCCGCTGTGGTTTGCCATTGAAATTTTGCGCAGTGTAAAACCTCCTCTTTGTTTTGTGATAATTTGAACTACTCCCATAGTCACATAGTGATATTAAGGGGAAACATTTGTTAAAATGAATTGAAGTGATTTATGAATCATAAAGGCAGTTTCATTAAAATAATTTTTAAAAAGATGCACTGGTTTCAAATATTGATTTTGACCCATTTTCAACGACATCATCAACTACGTAAACTATGACAATCGCGGCAGCCCTACATTATATATGA